GAAGAAAAAGGTCGACTCACCAAACAATGTGACGGAAGTCACAATTTTAAGCGCACTCATCACTGTGGGGCGATGAATATTCTAATAATATTGCTGATTAATTAATACTGAATGATTTGGAAAGAATGGCCAAAATTAGTTTCAAAGATTCTTCATTAAAATTTTGATTAAGTTGCTATCAGATGAAAGCTACACAATTATATATATTTTTGTTAGAGTCGTCGTAAGAGTAGAATTCTAACAAAACCAGAGAATTGATTCAGGTTCAGAAAATTTTAATCTCTTTAGTAACTTTCCCAGAAAATCATCTTGAGAAGAGATGGAATGTACCTTAAACATGCTCTTCAATCTTTCTCTAATTTTACCTTTGATTATCTATGTTGGCTTTCACGCTAATTTATTTCATAATATTCTGAAAAAAATAGGATATATGTTGGTGAATATAACTTACATGGGTTTGATCGTGTTTACTAGTGCAGAAATTGGATGCTGTAATTAATGTGATCTTTCATATATGCAGAGTCATGTCTCATGTGGTAACTCTCACAATTGCTTAAGTCAGCTTTGCCCTACCAAACTTCATAAACAATCACAGATGACGAAACCTCAGAAAACTTCAACATAAACCTACCTCTATCATTTTTTTTTTCCCTCTAAAATAAAGAGATAAAGTCAAAATAGGACTTTTTTAACAAGTAGATTTCATTATTAAAAAAAAAAAGAAATTTAGTTCGCATTCCCACGAGGAAGAATTAAGTGTCGGTATACTGCATTTGGAGTTTGACATATATACACAAATACAAAGTTACTTTTATGGATGGAAAAGTTTTGTCGCACAGACATATATATATATATCTATATGTATATAGTTATGCAATTATACATGCTTATGAAAGATATACCAACTTCAATAGAGATTGGCTATTCTATAGTTATAAGAATATTTAAGCTTCCTCATGGTAATATTAAATCTTAAGATCTCAAAGTTAGGGCTTTCTAAAATTATAACGCCTCCTTGATCATCATTAACAATGAGTTATTTTTAATTACGGAATTACACAATAAATTAGTTTCAATAATTTCATGCAATCTGAAAGTCATTAGTTTAATTGATTTTTTATGGTACCTACTTAATTAGTTTAATTCATATATATAATGTACAAATTACCATTTGTTTAATTTCATAAGTACATTGCCAGCTCCTATAGAAAAAGAAGAAGAGACAGTTTTAATAAGTTCAATTATTGACACATATATGCAGCACATTGAAAAGGTGAATAAATAATAAAGAAACTTGAACAAAATAGAAAAAGATAAATAGAAAAGATCTTCTACAAAATAGAAAAGATAAATAAATAAATAATAAAGAAACTTCATAGCAAAGAAAGTATCATTTAATTTATATATATATATATATAGAATATTTTATTAATTTGAGATGCTTCCATATCAAGTCTCCTAGGATTTTCCCCCTTTCCTCAAGACATAAATCAATAAGAAGATACCATTCTATAGACTTTTAATATATTTATTAATTTTTTTCTTCAATATATTTATTAATTTATCTCCTCTTCAAACAATTTTCAACTTCTTACAAATGACTTGATGCTCTGATCACTTAAGCACAGCGAGAAAGGGCTGAAAATTAAAAAAAAAAAAAAAATACAAGGGTGCAAAGAAAATTATTATATTAGCAGAAGCAGTCAGCTCAATTGGAATTTGCCATGTGTTCCAAAATCATAGGATAATTAAAACTCTATATTTGTTAATTACTTAATCAAGTTATCATATTGACAATAATTAAATTATGTTATCGGTCATCTTAATTTAATTATATAGCTAGGTAGCAACCAAATGTGACTTAGAAAAATTATAAATTAAAACAAGATATATATACATATATATATATATATCATATATTGAGACAAAATAATGTGACACACAATACACGCAATATGGTATATATTAAAAATAGCTAAAAATAGTTATGTAGTGTTAAGCAATTTTATTTTTAGTTTCTTTTCTATTAATCTTTTCCATTTTTTTTTTTTTGTTGTGACGTCGGCTAACACTAGACAAAGGGAGGTTAAATTCCCTCCATATAGAGTCCATGCTATGGATGAGGAAGTTGCTGATTTTGGTGCCACGTCTGCATAGTTATATGCCTATGTAAGTTTTTCATTAATTTTTTTCGTTTGTAACGTGACGAAAAAACTGACGTTTAACACTCTCCATAACTTTTAGGATTGAATATGTAAAAGGAAAAGTTTTAGAATTGAAATATCTAAAAGGGCAAAGTTTTAGGATTAAAATTGTAATTATCAATTGTACTATATAACTACTTATGTAATTTCGGTGTCCACTTGTCCCCTCTGACCTCGCTTTTCCCATCTCTAATATACATTAACAGATTAATTTCCTATAAAATATATAAATAACTAATTGTTGATCAAAACTCATATAATATTATTGGTTTAAGTGATAAAAAGATTATATATGTTTTTTTATTATTTAAATTCGAATAGTTGAAAATCGAGAAAAAATAATTTTTCTTGAATTTTTAAAATCAAATATAGATAAAATTGCTTAAATTGACTAAAATTGGAGATAAACTGGGCGGAGCACATGAACCCTTTACTATTAAATAAAAAAATTCAAGTAATATTGACAAACTTGTATAATATTAAATTAGAGATTTAATACAAATGATCTATTCACATCTTTTAAAAAATAAATTCTCCTAAGTTGAAATTTAATCCTGATGTGTGCAAATTTTCTTCTTTTAATTTTGCTAAGCATTGATTTGTTTTGTTAAAAAATACGTGTGTAATACTATTAATAGATTTTTATTAATAGATTTTAAGTAAGAGAGACATAAAGCCCTAAGATCATTACCTAATTAATTAGAAGGAATAATAGTGAGTGGTTCATTTCACATTTCTCGCCAATTTTTTTATGCAAAATAGGACAGAAAAAGATTTGTTCACGTTGAATGACTTAAACTTGTGGAATACATATTTCTTTTAAAAGGATAATAGTAGTATATATATCCATCATCACCTAAACCAGCGAGCCATCGGAAGCTTCTAATGTCAACGACAATTTTGTTTACATCAAAATCAACAGAGATAAATGAGGATTTTGAGTGTGATGACCATGGGAACGAACGAATGAGAAAGTGCTGGAGTAGGTAGCCCCGCCTGTATCTCTGTCTGTTACAATTACATTACATAACATACGTATACAAAAAAACGCGTACATCTCTACGTTAACGTCATGCTGCTGCTGCCGCGGCATATATGTCGAATACCAGATTTTGACATTTGACCCTCGAGCCGTAAATCCTTTGTCACCGTGACAAGAGTGATGAAAACGGAAGTAACATCAATTATTCCTAATTAAGGACCATTTGTCATATATAGTAGTAATCAACTAATTTACATTATTAAGATGATACGTGTTGAAAAGGATATAACATAATTAGCAGTAATCAAGTAATCATACGCTGTGGATAACATGTATAAAATAATGAAAATAAAGAAGTCTATACAGGTTAATTATATGAATTATTCCTACTTTTTATACACTCTCAGTGAAAATTTTTAATTCCAAAAATAAAATTAAAAAACTGATATTTCTTTTGTTTACTATATACTGATAGTAACATAATTTGAAAATTAAAAAGCAAGTAAGGACGACATGAACAATAATCAATATGAAATTCATCATTCATAATCAAGTTTGCCTTAGCTCATTTTAAAATATTTCAAGACAAAAATAAAAAGACTAAAGAAATTTAAAAAGATTAGTATGAAAGAAAAGGTTATATGCCATTAATTTGAAAATTGCACTTTCAATCAGCTAAAACAAATTCATGCCTTCATTCTCACTGCTTCTCTTTCTCAAAGCTTCCACTTTTTCTCCAAATTTCTTCGTCGTGCCACCTAGTTTGGATCCATGGATTTACTCCAACCTCATTTTCCTAAAATGGCTACTCCTTTCTAATTGTAAATCATGGTTCGAGGCTATGCCTTTAATGGACGTACCCTTGAGGATTGCATATCTATGTTACATGAATTCCCCCTCAGAGGATTGAAATCTGAAGACACCATTGGTCAGAATGCTTTCAGAGTACCAACAACTACATTGGACAACAATGGAACGGGCTAGCACAAGTTACCTGTAAAAAATCGATTCCTTTTGCAAAAAGCAACAAACTATAAAAACCCTAAACTTTGAAAGCAACCTACCAGATTTGCATGTTCAAGCAATTTTTTTTGGAATGACTGTTGATCTTGATCAGTCATTATTTCATCATGCCTGCGAATTGCACTATTACTTCTGCTAAGATGAAGTGTTTCCTCAAAGTGAATTTAGGACGTTCCAAGCCGGTGCCGCGCGCCCCCCCCCCCCCCCCCCCCCAACTATTGGCAAAATAACCATAGTAATCTAACGAAAATGCTTCCCTTGAACAAACTGAACAGTTCTCACATCACATTTCCTTTGACATTTGTGTTAAATAAAAATTTTAAAAATTTCACTGGGATCCAACAAATAATAGGCGCTTCAGTATTTCTGTTCCATCAGAAAGGAACCATCGACCTCTGTAATCCAGTTGCCCATAATTCCATCCTGTCAAGTAGAAATAATACACTCCCTCAAAATCTAACAAACTAATTTACCTGTTTCAAAACTCAAATGCATGATTGCATTGTAAGCTTGTTTAATGAACAACCATCAATCATGATGCATAAACATCAAGCCAGGCATAACCACTACTCCACCTTACAGATTACACTGGGAGCACAAACAGCTCTACATGAAAACATAGCAGACATATTCCATAACCAAGATATACCAACCCATTAACCCAGAAAAATAGCTTGTTAAATCTTCCCAAAGTGTATTAAACCATTAAATTAAACCATCTAAGTTGGGAGACTAATGTGTCTATGGACCCAGACGAGATAGAGCCTGCTTAACAGTGACCTAAACTAATATAAAAACAAATAAAATGGTTTGTAACTAAATTAAAGTGCAGGAGTTTGCCATAATGTTACGTTCCAATCATCTTAATCAACTTAGGAAACCCAAGTAACACAGAAGTCTGTCATTAAATACCATCATACTACAGCTCTTGAAGCCTACACAATATTCTCAGGATGTAGCTGTCAGGACACAAGTCATAGGTTCACCCTCTTGATATCCATGCCAAAGTCAGGTAGTAATCATGTTGAACTGGAATCTAGAAAGCTGCTGAGGAATGGTTGATATGACTGGTCCATATCTCTGTTAGACATTTAAGTGCTGCTGTTAGAACCAGAAGAGTAATAAAGCTAAAAATTATTTTTTGAAAAATGAAAGTAGAAACAGTATGGAATATATAAGCAGCAAAACTACTGTTCACCACTTCATAAAAAATGCAGGAAATTAGTAGTAGAAATCCAGAGGAAAGGAAAAAGGAAATTTAAGCGACAGAGGTAACAAAGTTGGTTGTTAACAGCAGAGATAATTTCAGAGAAGAAACATATGATCTACCAAGAGTAATTTGCCACAGATCCACAGTTCATTCTCCATTTCCCCTATACCAAGTTTTTGAAATCTTGAATTCACAACACAGATTTATTAACGCAAATATAAAAATAAAAAATTAAATTGCAAAAATCAAATTATAAATCAAGTTGAAGAATGGATGAGAGTCGGTATACTCCCTACCTGAACATTATCATAAAGCTCAAACAATGGTACAGCAAGTAGTTTCAAATTTTTTGGTACTGCAAAGTACTCTTTCTCAGACAAGTGAACAAGGAAAAGCTTCTTGCACTCCTGCAATATCAACAATAGAGGAGGTTGAGAAAGGATAGCATAGCTCATTAATAGCCACATGAAGTAACAAAAAGATCAAGAATAACTGCACGCTACCTTAGGTTTTGTGATGTGAGGAGGACAATATGGATACATTATGGTCTCAAAGTTGGGCCTCCACCAGATGGCCACACACTCACCAATCTGCAACAAGATAACAAGGAACAGAATTAGGCATTAAAAGATTTTTTTTTTCAAACTATATCACTGCAAAGTTCAAAGGAAATTGTGAGTAAAACATGCCCTCCTCATCCTAATAAGATAATTACAACAAATCTATACCTGCCAATCTGGCACAAGAGCAGGTGAATTAGCTCCAAGTTTGCTGGTCAGCTTCCTTTTCAAACCTTCAATCTCTAAAACCAAAAACAACCGACATATAATCTAAAAATAGTGCAGAAAAGATGTAAGGATAAAGACATTATGACATAGAAGGAAAAAAGTTAAAGTAAAATGATACCATTCTCTCCAGGCTTCAAGCGTCCACCAGGAAGTTTGCAGAATGTGTTCCCAATTTGCAGAAGAAGAATGTGAGGATGATTATGTTCTTGGACCTCCATGAGAAAATTGTATAAGCAATTGAACCATACAACGATAATAGTAATTGGTAAGTTATAGAAATAGGAGAAAGTAGCAAAAGTACAACACAAACTTGTAATGCCAAAAAGAATGCAAATTCCTTCAGATATTATCATAGTCAATCATAATGAAAAAAACATATAAAAATTCCTTGCCTTTAAAAAGGAGTCCTTCATGTATTAGGATGTAATTCCTCTTTTCTTGATACACTATTTCATCTTTACATATGTAAGACAGTTGTAAATTTCTACCAGGTTAACTATTGTGGTCATATGTAAACACATTTACATGGTAGACACCTCTGAGATGCAAAAACTACCTCCCTTTCTATGATAATGAACAATGGCAGAGATAGCCTGCTGATGCTTAAGTATGAAACACGCTGTCATTTTGGAGGCTTTATCACACATTTGAATAACCTTTTTCTCTCCAAATGTAGTCAATTTATTATTTAACCAAATTTAGAACAAGTAAACTTTTAGCAGTTAACATATGTAGATGTAGTACTTTCCAATTCCGAGATGTTTAAGTTACTATCTTATCATAATTTCAAATTTTACACAGTGTTCTAATTTTTCCTCATAAAAATGACAAAGTACCAAGTCTGCAATAAAATTGCATTTGTCATCACATAATAATGAAGATATTGTTATGAAAAAGGTTAAATACATCTAGAACATTACGTCTTTCTGAAGTTTCAACGTGATGGATCTCTAACAAGAAACATTGTTACAAGTCAAATCTACCAAAAGCATGCCACTGAGGATTATCATATAAATAACTCAAAGTATAAACATTAAAGACATGACTGCATGAGACTATGTGTAGAAAACTAGGATTTAAAAATATTACCACAAATTTTCACAAAAGAGAATGAAGCATAAGCATCACAAGGTAAATTCTTCTTGGTGTACTATAGCATAATGGCTAAACAGAAGCATACTAACATACCAGTAAAATCGCCTCAACACTTGTCCTCATACCCTCTTTCATATAACTGCAACTCGCAATCAAAAGAAGCAATTACAAACTTGAGCTTGTAGATAGCAAAGTTTCAACATGCCAGTCTTCACAGTAAACTTATTCCACCCACAATTAATCTTCAATGGAGACTTTTAGTTTAGAAAATGAATTTGCATTCTTGGGTTTTGCTTTGGGTTTCGAAAACGAGAATAAAAAAAGAATATTTAGCAAAACACAAACTTTCTCCTAAATAGAAAAAAAAATTCGACATTTGTACTTCATCTAAAATATGAGAAAGACAATCCAAATCTCAGTAAAAAACTTATATTGTTTTTATCAGTAATTTCCTTTTGATCTACAAATACCCCTCAGTTCGCAAATCGCGATATAGTTTAAGAAAGATGATGAAACTAAGGTTTCAAAACTTATATCATCGACTGAACTAATTCGAACAGTCCAACATAAGTAATTCCAAATTAGTTTTTTTTTTTTTTTTTTTTTTTCATGTTTCTGGAACCGAATAACACAGAGCACAAAAGGAAAAACTTCAGCGCAGCATTCTCGAGAACCAAAAGGAGAAATGGGATTTATCTAGGGTTTTTAAAATATCCTGTAAAAATGCAATTGAATAAGAAAAATAAAAAGGAGAAAGTAATAAAATTACTTGACTTTCATGCGAGCAAGGCGATCCGCGACGGATGTGTCCTTCTCCATATTCGGCTCTTTGGTGCCGAAGGTGTAGCTCGACAATGGATATGTGTTCACCGCCGGTGACGTTACCATCTCTATCCTCTCCGTAATCGTATTAGCTTTAACTGTATTAAATTATCGAACCGTCGAAACGTTTCTCTTTCCGGAGGAAAAATCGTTTCGATGAGGAAAAAGGAAAAATTATAAACGGAGGGAGTGAAAATTTTGGTACTATGTAAAAAAGTATTAGTAAAGGGGTCAAATATTATACTGTTCGTATTTAAACTATACAATTTTTTTTATAAGTGAAAAACTATACAACTTCTTAATATTTAACAAAAACATTTCAAATTAGGCATTAAAATTGTATTTCATCACATGCTTTTAATTCATTTCACTAACATCCAACAATTAACATGGTATAATTAATATACATGGCAAAAAAATGTCAGGTAATTAGGACACATGAAAAAAAAATTTATATCATTTTTATTTTTGGAACTTAAAAATAAAAAAAATAAAGAAAAAAAGGAAATTAAAAAAAAGGAAAAAAAAGATGAAATATATATATATATATATATATATATATATATATGGGAGGGCATGAAAGGAATGACTAGCTTGAGATAAGGGAAAAGAGGAGGTGAAAGGGGAAAGGATGCTAGAGGTAGGTGGAAGAAAAAAAATTAAGAAAATAAAAAATTAATTTAAAATTATAATATTTGATTTAGATTGATTTATTTTTTATTTAGTTTGGATTAAAATTAAAATAAAATATATATATATATAGTTTAAAAGAATTTTGAATTTAAGACGTAAAAAATTATAAAAAATTAAATTTAATTAAATTATATATTTTTATTATTTTATATATATATTTTAAATTTTTATAAAATGAAAATAATTATTTTATATATAAATCAATTTAAACATATTAATAATCCTATAAAAATAATATATAAAAATTTAAAAAATAAAATTTAAAAATCTATGAATCAAATTTAATTAAAATAATAAAAATTAATTCAAATTCATATAAAAAATTTAAAATTTCTAATAACATGTATTATTCAAAAAATCTAAACCGAAGCATTACTACTGAAGGAAAATTTAATCACTTAGATGCCTAAGGCTCGCCCTTGCCCTTCCTCTTTCTAGCTTTCATCCTCTCTCTCGACCTTTCTTTATTTTTTTTCCCTTAAAATTTTAATTTTTTTATTTTCTATTTCAAAAATAAGAATTGAAAAATATATTTATATATTTTAATTTATTATTTACTATTTAAAAACATATTTTTCTTAAAATAAAAAAATTTATTTTATTTTTTTATGACAGGACCTGTAGAAGGCAAACCCTTTGGACTCACATTTCCTTGCCAAACTCGGGAGAATTAGCGCAAAATCCCACCGTCATGGCCTCCTAGCTCGTCCGCTCCATTTAGCAATGCCTTGAAAAAAAAATTAATTTTAAAATTTTACATTGATTTTTAAATTTTATAAATATATATTTATTTTTTAAAATTTTTCTAAAAAAAACATGACATTGTGATAAACTTTTGCTGGTTAAATTTTACCACGTGATCATTAGACTAAGACTATTAGTTATTAGTGCATTTTACAATTGAAAATTGAACTTTAGAGACTTGAATGTAAACTTTTATTTTTAACAACCAAAATAATAATAATAATAATAATAATTGTTGGGCAGGAAACTGAGTATTTGGTCGTTATTAAAACATAATTTTAATAATCATCTTGAAATTTTGGTATTTAGTGCTTATTTAGATTTGAAAGCAATTCCAGTTGAGTGCAATTGAAGGGTGTAATTACGCCATAAAATCATTTGGGAAACAAATAATAGCACGCTGGAAGAAGTATAACCGCATTGCATCTTCAGTCAGAAACTAGAACTTCATGGTTCCAGTGAAGAGCAACAGCTCTTTTCCATGTTTATCCTCACTTTGTTTTTTTTTTAATCAACATTTATTCCTTTTTTTCATTTTGTTTAAATTTTATATATATATATATATATTTTAAAATGATTTATTTTATTGGCAAAAGTAAATTTTTAATTATTTATTAATATGTTATTATTTGACAAAAAATTTAATATTTTTAATTATTTATTAATTTTGTTAAATAATTTTAAAATGTTTATTATAGACAATTTTTAATTTAATATTTTTAATAATTATTTTTTTATTAAAATCAATCTCATTATTATTTTTAATTTTATATTTAAATATATATTTCATTATTAATTTTACTTTCATTACTAAAATAATTAATTTCACTTTTATTATTATTTTTAATCTCATCGGTTAATTTCATTATCATCAAACGTATTATTTCCTAATTGGACTTGAATGGATCTAGTCCATTAGGCTCAAGCTTAGCCCGTTGACAAGAAAATTTTAAACACCTATCCGACAATAAGGACCACCATCGGAGGGCCAAATTCGATTTCAATTTTTGGGCTTCACTGATCAGTCTCGTTTCGACTAACTTGTTCATCGTAAAGCTGCGCGTTTATCTGATAGGAAAGCGCGGGCGCGGCAAATGAACAAAAGCCTTCATCTCCATGTATCCATCCTTTCGAGAATCATCATCTCTCCGAAAATCCATTCAATTTGGTTGATCAGTTGACCGACCAAACATGGACAAACTAAAGCAACAAGTCATTTCTCGTTTCTTTGCTCCCAAACCAAAAATCTCATCCAACCCAACTCCACCGTCAAACCCGTCATCTTCTTCTCCTCCTCCTCCACCGCCAATCTCACCCCCTAACGTAAAAACAACGGTCTCTTTTTCACCTTCTAAACGCAAACTTCTCTCCGCCCACCTTGCTTCCTCTGCTAAAAGACCCAAAACCAAGCTTTCCCCTCACACCCATAACCCTGTTCCTCCTCAGCCTAATCCTTCCCTCCACCAAAAGTTCCTCCAGAAACTTCTAGAACCCTCTTCACCACCTCTTCTGGAACCTTCCGAATCCGACCACAAAAAGTACACCCCATTGGAACAACAAGTAGTGGATTTAAAAAGCAAATACCCGGATGTTCTTCTCATGGTGGAAGTCGGTTACAGGTTCCGATTCTTTGGGAAGGATGCGGAAATTGCGGCGAAAGTGTTGGGAATTTACGCCCACATGGACCGCAACTTCTTAACCGCAAGTGTGCCAACTTTTCGACTGAATGTCCACGTGAGGAGACTGGTCAGTGCCGGGTACAAGGTTGGGGTGGTGAAACAGACAGAAACGGCAGCGATTAAGGCTCATGGTTCAAACCGGGTTGGACCATTTTGCAGGGGTTTGTCGGCATTGTACACGAAGGCGACGCTGGAGGCCGCAGAGGATGTGGGAGGGAAAGATGAAGGTTGTGGTGCGGAGAGTAATTACTTGTTTTGTGTTGTGGAGAAAGGTTTGGAATCTTCAGGGTCGGTTTCAAATTGTGGTTGTGTTGATGTGAGGGTTGGGGTTGTTGGAGTGGAGATTTCAACCGGGGATGTTTTTTATGGGGAGTTTGATGATGGGGTTATGAGGAGTGGGCTTGAAGCTGTGGTTTTAAGCTTGGCTCCGGCTGAGTTATTGCTTGGAGAACCGCTTTCAAAACAAACAGAAAAGGTATTTCCTTTATTAGTGTTACAATTTGTGAAGTGGCATATTTGCAGAGAGGTTTAATTGTTAAAACTAACCTCATTTGTTTTAAAACGAAAAATATTGGATAAACTATGTTGAGGAAGTTTATTTCTTTGGGTAGAATGGCATTACATTGAAAGTGTTTGCAATGGCTTTGTTCTTATGGATTTCTGTAGTTAATAGCTGTTTATAAGAGAAAATGCTGTTTAAGAAGAGGAATTTTTGAGGTATTATGGTTATGAGTGGGAATGGATGGCGGTAAAGAGTCATTTAATGGAAAATAGAGTAAGATTGTAGTCGTTGAAACTTGCCAAATATATAGATAAATATAGTCCCACATTTTTGGTTGAAATGCTTTACTTTTCGAATTTTGAATATTAACTGAAAGTCTGGTCAAAGCATCTGGCTCCTTCAACCATGAAAAACGGAAAGGTGTGTCAATATTTTCCGGATAATAAAAATTCAAAATTCAGAGGGTATGTCTTCCAAAATTTTCATGATAATAAAAATTCTTGTATCAGTTGCTACTAGCATATGCTGGACCTGCTTCAAATGTTCGACTGGAGCATGCCTCTCGTGATTGTTTCAAAGGTGGTGGTGCACTAGGAGAAGTGATGTCTGTATACGAGAAGGTGGCTGAAGATAATTTTGCAGATAATGTGAATCAGTTAGAGGAGGCAGCAGAACAGGGAAATTCTCACTGTTCAATTCAGGTGTGACATTGGTCACTACTTTTTTGCGCACTGAAAGAAACATTGAATTTGAATTATGGTTTCTTTTGAGGTTTGTTTTACTCTTGGGTGTCAACTAGTCCTCATGGGTAATTTTTGTGGTGAATTATACATATTTTATACTGTGAAAATTAGACAATGTTTAGCTGTTTCTTCAAAAATTTTGCTGCTTGCCTACCTATTTCCATATAATACTACTAACTTGAATTCGTTCTTCTAGTAATCCAGGGTTTGTTATTGATCTTTCTCTAATGTATTAGTTTACTTTTCTTACTTTATTGGTTTTAAGGGAGTCATGAACATGCCAGATTTGGCGTTACAAGCATTGGCCTTAACCATTCGTCATCTCAGTCAATTTGGACTGGAAAGAATTGTGTGCCTGGGAGCTTCATTTCGTCCCTTATCAAGCAGCATGGAGATGAATCTTTCAGCAAATACACTTCAACAATTAGAGGTAATTGTTTTATCGTTTTGTATATGTGTCTAGTCCTGAGATTTTCTCAAAACATTAGTTTCCTTTATTGCCAAGTTGCTTTTATCTGGGTTGTTGTTTGCCTGTCCTGCCACAAAATGGCATCAGAAATTTGTCATTCGCTCATGCATGTACTAGTAGAGATTTGCCCTCATTCTGAAGGTCAACTAGCATACCCTATCAATAAATCTTCTCTATCTTGCAATCAGTTGTGAACAAGCATTGTATAAAGACTGATAACAATGGGTAAAATCCTGCATGAGATATAATCTTTTTAGATCTATGGTAGCCAGTTAGAACTCTAGAAGTTTGTTATTAGTTAGCATTGATTTTTTGAAAAAATTAATTCATACATTATTCAATTTTAGAAAAACTGCCTGTGGCTAAAATGTTTCCTTTGAAACATTTTATCTGGTTAAGAACTTTCTGCATCTTAATTTGAACCTTGTTTTACTCTGAATAGATTCTTTTGCTATCTCCAGATTTTGAAGAATAATTCAGATGGGTCTGAATCTGGCTCATTACTGAAAATCATGAATCATTGTCTTACTATTTATGGATCAAGGCTTCTCAGACACTGGGTATTTGACCTAAAACTGAGTCTGATTTCTGGTAGTTTGTCATATTTTTCTTAACTTACAATTTTACCTTAGAGTTTTGTTTCATAAAACAGGTGACTCACCCATTGTGTGATAGAAACATGATATCTGCTCGACTTGATGCTGTTTCTGAAATTTCTTTGTCAATGGGGTCTTATAAAGGCTCCCAGAGAATTGTTGAGATTGATGCTGAAGATTCTGATGTAACCATTGTGCAGCCAGAATTATCCTGTGTGCTTTCCTCGGTTTTAACTTATTTAGGAAGATCACCTGATATTCAACGCGGAATAACAAGAATCTTCCATCGAACTGCTACTCCAGCAGAGGTATCATCATTCATCACCCTCTTTATCTTTGTTATTGGGCGTGCAGCATGAGAGCAACAATTACTCCAGTAGTCCGGCTTACAAGGCTCTTTCTATTTTCTTTGCATGGAAATGTTTAAATGTTATACTATGGTCTTTTGGCACTATAATTTCTTATCTGTTGGTTGGCAAGTCGTTCAGGATATGTACTAATGAAGAAACTGAAAGTTTAATTTTAATTTGTAACTAGTAACTTGATCTTCTGTTCTTTTTTCTTGGTTCCCCTGTCGCATTTAAGCCATTGATAAGAATGTCTTGTGTTCCTTGTTGTAAAGTAGCCTCAATAGTGGGTGCCATTGTGTAAAGCCCGCTGCTTGATGTGCTGATAAATTCCTAAGGATTCAATTGTATAGTTCATTGCAGTTATTCAAACTATTTTATCTGCTGGAAAGCAACTTCAGCGGCTTTGTATTGATGAAGAATATGAAGACTATGGCGGCAGGAAAGTGTGTATTGTGACTGTGCAGTCTGCTCTGTTGAAAAGGTTGATTTTGACTGCTTCATCTTCCAATGTACTTGGCAAAGCTGCAAAACTATTATCTACCCTAAACAAAGAAGCAGCTGATAAAGGGGATTTAACAGACTTAATCATCATCTCTAAAGATCAGTTTCCAGAGGTTTGTATTTGGATGAAAGTGAAGATCTCTGAATTTTAATCTTCTTGTGCTTGTTGTTGTCTTGTTTTTTGATTTTTTTCAGATCCAATTGGTTTGACTGGTTACCTACAGGTTGCTAGAGCTCGGAAAGCAGTTCAATTGGCAAAGGAGAAACTGGATAATTTGATTGCCTTGTATAGAAGGCAACTTGGGAAACACAATTTGGAATTTATATGTGTGTCAGGAACTACACATTTGATAGAGGTAGGTTTATTTATTTATTCTGGAAGACTTAATCAAGCAAAGTTCTCTAGACAATTATAATTCTGTTGCACATGGTTTACTTGTTCTTGCAATCCTAGTTTGGTTTATGTGGCCCTGAACCACTTCAGCTTCAATGCAGTTGCCTATAGATGCCAATGTACCTTCAAACTGGGTTAAGGTAAACAGTACCAAAAAAACAGTAAGGTATCATCCACCTGAAGTATTGACTGCTCTAGACCAGTTAAGACTGGCAAATGAAGAGCTTATCATTATCTGTAGAGCTGCATGGGGCACCTTTCTTAGGGAATTTGAAGAATATTATGTGGAGTTCCAAGCTGCTGTTCAAGCACTTGCCGCTTTGGACTGTTTGCACTCTCTTGCCACTCTTTCAAGAAATAAGGTATGTACTTGGTGGACCTTCACACGTTGTTCTTGATCTGGCTAAATTGATATTTATTTTCTTTTTCAATGGTTTATTGCAGAATTATGTTCGTCCTAACTTTGTGGATGACAATGAACCTGTTCAGATAAAAATCCACTCTGGTCGTCACCCTGTAAGTTGAAGCATATGTATTTAAACATATAAATCTAACTGTACTTACTAACTGCACTTATTTGGAACATGTTGAAAGATTTTTTACTAAATGCTAACATATATTAATAGAAAATTGATTTGTCAAGTGCTTATTGCCATCAATGAAAAAAGTTTTTTGTCAACTTGCATGATGTTCTTAGGCATCCATAAATTGTATATTTATGAGAATTAAGCTTAAATAGTATATAATTGTTGTGTACTATTTGTCTCTGTTGGAGAAATCAACTTTCTATTAATGAGTTAACCTAGGATGCATTGGTTTGACCATGTTCTAATGCAGACTACATCTCATAAAATATTCCTTTTTCTTAACACCTTCTTCTTCTTTTGCCCCTAAAATTAATCACCATGATTGATGACTTTTGACCAAATACCAGAACTAAAGATGTGTTTGGTACACAAGATTATGATAGGATAAAGTAAGATGATATTATAAATAGGATTAGATTAAATAATGTCATCATATCTTGTCTTTAATATGTGTAAGGATTATAATAAGATAATTTATTTATTTGTCAAAATTACCTTTCCTCAAAATTTATACACTTTAAATTATTGATGTAATTTTTAAGAGTATAATAGGACATGTAAGTTTAATTTCATGAATTTAAAAATAATCCTCTCCACTTTTGGAGGATTGAATCATCTTATATCAAGAGGATAATTAATCCTCTTTGTAATCCTATCCCTTTCTTTAGATACAAACCAGATATAATATATAATGATTATCATTCTATCATATCCATCATCTTATGCACCAAACATGACCTAAATTCTATATATAAACTACAGCTGATACATTGCTCTGGGGTGTTTGTTTATTGAGTGCTATGTTTGATCAGGTGCTGGAGACTATCTTACAAGATGGTTTTGTTCCGAATGACACAACGTTGCATGCAAATAGGGAGTATTGTCAGATTGTCACTGGTCCTAATATGGGTGGGAAAAGTTGCTACATTCGTCAGGTTGCTTTAATTGCTATGATGGCTCAGGTAGAATTTTAGCTCACATACTATTTCTCTGTCTCTTCCCCCCTCCCCTTCTCTTATCTCCTCTTTTGTTATCTTCAGTATTATTTTGTCCTTAAGCTAAATTATTCTTATCACACTGTATATTACAAATTGTTATGGTTTCTTGCAAAATATTGCTGTGTATCCCTTTCTCAATATCTGTCATAGTTTTTTTGCTATCACTAAGGTCATTCATGTGCATTTTCTAAATTAGATACTACTTGTATACTTATCCAAAAAAAAAAAAAAGTAATTTAATAGAAGGGCAAGATTCATTCCACTAAAGGCATGATGATATGTGTTAATGTTAAGCTGGGTTTTCATCCTTTTCTCATCCCTTCACAAATTCTCCTGCATGATTTTACATATTCGTATGAGAAGGGTGAATTTATGAGATTTTCTTCTGCCATTGTTGATTGTTAAGTAAATAATCCCTATGATGTCCAGTTCCTCTCTTTTTTCACTGTGTTTCTTGAAATAAAAATATTAATAGTCTTACTGTTTCAAAACGTGCCCTCTGATCTTTCTAGGTTGGTTCCTTTGTACCAGCAGCATCAGCTACTCTGCCTGTATTAGATGCTATCTACACACGCATGGGTGCTTCCGACAGTATCCAACAAGGGAGAAGTACCTTTCTAGAAGAACTAAGTGAGGCCTCCCAAATACTCCACAATTGCACTGCACGCTCACTGGTTATCATTGATGAGCTTGGAAGAGGAACTAGTACACATGATGGTGTAGCTATTGCTTATGCTACATTGCAGCATTTGCTCGAGCAGAAAAAATGCATGGTTCTTTTTGTTACCCATTACCCTAAAATTGCTGACATTAAAGTTGAATTTCCTGGGTCTGTGGAGGCATATCATGTTTCATATCTGACTTCGCATAATGATGATGGTACCATGGATGCAAAATCAGATCATGAAGTCACCTACCTATATAAGCTTGTCCCTGGTGTTTGTGAAAGGAGTTTTGGTTTCAGAGTTGCACAACTTGCACAGGTAACTCTCTTTCTCTCCGTGTTGCTTAAAAGTCATTTCAGAATAAGAACTCCAAAACAGAACAATCTAACGTGAAACCTATGTCATGGTCCTAGAGAGGAGCCATGAACCCCACATCGGTTTCGTACTAAAATTGATCTTGGGATATCAGTGTTCGCATCACTTTCAACTTGTGAGATGCCTTTTGTGAGACAAAACCGTAAGTTCCTGTGGGATTAAAGTGAATAATACCTTACAAGTTGGTGGGGACCATGACACTTTGGTATAATTCAGGTTGACAAGATTTATAAGGAAAGACTTTTAAGTGCTGCCTGCTATTTACATAGAACTGGCCCAATTCTGGCTTTCGTGGACGATGTTGATTGTTCCCATTTAATTTCTGCGAATATGAATAAACGTTTTATTCTAAACATTTACTTCTCATATAAGTTGTTTGGATACTTAATGTTTTGATGCAGTTGCCTTCATCATGCATCGATCAAGCAATTATTATGGCTACAAGGTTGGAAGCAATTGAAGGCAGCAGAGTGAGAAAAAAATCAGAAGAAAGGCAGTGCTTAGAAACAGCAACAAGTGATCAAGAACTAGAAACAGAAGAGAATGTTTTGAATTCTACAGGTAGCTTCTGCAGTGAAAGGATAGTAGATTCGGAAGAATTTGCTAATGCTTTCAGGGACTTGCTTTTGAACTTGACCTCTGCAATAACGAATGATGATCTTGCAAAAAGCTTTCAGTTATTGGAAGAGGCTAGAAGCATTGCAAAGGAATTAATAGAAGGGTAAATGTTTAGGTAATCTATATTTAAGCTTTCACTCTGTCAATTTCTTTCTTTCTTTTTGAAAGAATTTAATGGTGAAAGCATATTCATACAGATCTCTGCTATTTGCTAGATCTTGATTAAGTTGCATTGCTTCGATGGTAGTAGTTTCAATCTCATTTTTGACACATTTAATAATTCGCTGCACCAGATCAGAGGCAGTTCTACAAGGTGAGACAGTGTATATAGTATACGGAAAGAACAGCCACATGAGATTGATGGAGGCACAAATGAGATGATGGATTGCTGGAATTTTGTGTATAGTATTGTATACGAGGAAAATTTTTAACTTCTATAATGAATCTGAGTTTCATGTTGACGCTTCCCGATGTTTTGTTGTGAAAATGAGATTGTCAAGTGTGAATGATTTTTAAATTATAGTAAAATATTTAATATTGTATTTGAATCTAAAAACTTTTGATATATGGATTATAAATTTATTAATTAATATGATCTTTAAAAAATTATTTATTTATCATATATTTTCATTTAAAATTAATCATATTAAAAGTAAATATAATTTTAATTATTACATTTATAATTTAAATATTATATTGAAGATTTTTAATTTTCAAAGTTTAAGTATCACATTAAGGATGTGTTTGATAAATAAAATTATGGTAAGATAAAATATTATGATGAATAGAATTAGATTAAATAATATTATCATATTTTCTATTTGAGAGACATTAAAATAAGATAATTTATTTATTAGTTAAAATTATTTTTATTTAAAATTTATATAATTTAAATTATTAATGTAATTTTTAAAAGTATAATAAAACATATAAATTTAATTTCATGAATTAAAAATAATTTTTTATTTTGAGAAAATGAATCATTTTATATTAAGAGGATGATAAATTTTATTTGTAATTTTATCTTTTTTTATATATATAAATTAAACATAATATAAGATAATTATTATCATATTTTATTCATTATTTTATGCATCAAATATGATTTAAAATATTAATTATAGTTTAAAAATTAATTATGACATTAATCCTTTTTCATTTTGTGCCTTAAATACGGAGAACAGAACTACAAGAGCTCTTAGTTTTCTTTGTCTTATATAATGTTGTGCATCCGAGGCCTGGGCCATTCGAACTTTACTACGGATTTTATTCAAGGCCCATCTGATGATGCATTTAATTACTTGGGGGTCAGTCTCATTTAATGGGAGACATGTATGCCTTCTCTGTTAAAAGAATAGGAGAATCACGTTTAAATTTTTGGCTCATGCACGACACTTGACCTTTGCATTCACAATATACCAAAACATTTATATTAAAATCCAATTCAAGAGCTTCACCCATTTTTTCATTCTTCTTCTGATGGACGATCCAATTCTTCTTATATTTAAATTATGAATTACAGAATTCTCAAAAAAAAAAAAAATTATGAATTACAAAAACATATAACGGCTCTTAATCAGTACAGCTTAATATGGACCCACGTCCCTTTCCTAGGAATAAATTCATGTACCAAAAATAACTGGCAATATCCTGGAGGCGCCAACGCCGCTGTTTCTTGGGTGCGCAACCTTCCATCAAATAGTTCCCGGAAGAAGTCTTCTTCATTCACTCTGTTGTAGAATGCCAATACTAGCTACTTTGGCTCATTGCCATTGAATGTGTAGTAAACGACGGAGCCACCATTTTGACAAAGGTATCTGCCTGATTAACATTCCCCTTCAATGTGAACTCCAGAGAAACTTTCTGCTTATAACCTAGCTGCAACCCAGGTTTTATCGCATTGATCGATGGCCGAGGCTTTGTCGATCTCAAATATGGTGGATAAAATGCTTCAACGCTGAGTTCAGTTTGTTAAAGTGCGAAGAAGTTGTAATTATATTCCTATTGCTGCCACCGACTAAGACTCGACCATCTGATAGCAAATGAGCAGTTGAATGATAAAGTCTAGGATTCATAGACGGGCTTAATACCTCAAATCTGGTATTTTTGTCACTGTTTTGAGTGTCTGGACAGTATGACACTGGATTCAGAACGGGTTCTCGTGCAGCACCCCATCCAGAGGTGCCTTGGGCCGCACCATTTATGATAAGCACATCTCATTTCGCCCATCACTCTGTTGAATGGCATTTCCTCCATTCCCCATTTTGGAGATGCGACTGTAATTATCAACCGACCCCAAGATTTTGACGTTGGAACAAAGATTCCGACATTAGTCTTCTCGTAGAGTCCGGAGGTGTCCCAGCGCAGATTAATACCTCAGCAACTGGGGTACTAGTGTTGTGGTCGTTGTTGGTGCTTAAGAGTTTCAAAGGGAGAAGAACAGAGGAACCTGTGCTCGGATAATTGTGGGCAACGCCACCGGCCATTACAGGATAACTTCTAATCACCTTGTTGTTCACATAATCGAGTAGAATTCCGGGCTCATTGGCGAAAACAAACAAATTTCAGTCGGTTGAGAGATGTAGAAAAGGGTAGAGGTTGTTGGGGCCCAGGGGTGAATATCTTGTTTCTTTTAGGAATGGAAGTTGGTAGTATTTGATTAGAACTGGAGTCTTTTGGAATAAATTCATATGTGATATTATATCTCCCACCAACGACAATGATTTTCCCAAGTTCCCATCTGGTAAGACTTGATTAGTAGCATACCATCTTGGTGAAAGAAGACCACTTTGATGCTCTTCCTGGTCGCAACCCATGCGTGGTTTGAAGTGTCGGACAACTTTTTCGCCGAGTCTATAACCACCACTTTGTTCTAAAGTACCATCCTGCGACAATGCACCAGAAGAACACCACGTATCTGATAATAGAGTGAGTGGCCTTACAGCCCAGGTAGCTAAATTTTACAACTAAAGAAGATGGGGTATGCTAGGCCTAGGGTTAATAGCGTAACGGAGATAGTACCTTTTGGTGACGCAAGAATATCATGGTCACAATTATTTGATTCAAAAATCACCGATCAATTAGCATAGATTACACGTATTAATTGCTGCTAATTATCCTTTTATAATTTACAGTCTTTACTTTGTTATATTCTTTTTTTCTTTCATTAAAATTAAAAGGATTTATGAATTAAATCGTGTTTAATTAGTACTTTAAAATTTTTAAACCAAAATTCAATATAATCAATGAAATCTAATTAATTTATAATTATTAAAAAATGTTAAATATTAAAAAAATTATTTTATATTAATATTTTAAAATCAAATAAAATAATATCTCAACTCGGACCAGTTTCAAAATCCCTATTCTAAGGTGTACCTATCTCATTAGTGGCTAGATCAGTGGGAGTGACTGTAGTTGTTGTTGAGAATAATAAAAAAAACAAGTTGACGTCAGCATATATATTTTGGAAAGAGGAAATAGTCTAACTCGTCATAAAAGCTTAGATTAATTGATAGCACCAAGCCTGCCATCAGTTTACACCTCGTGTGGTTAAAATTAAAGGAGGGGTATAATGAAAGAGTAATAATAATTCGGTCTAATCAACTTTGATTTAATATTTTTGATAACGGTTAATATTATAAATTTTTAAAATTTAATTTGAATTTAAATTATTTTTTTAAATTCATTCAATTTGAATTGAATTTTATTAATTTGATTTATAAATTCTTAAAATTTAATTATATATATGTTATTTTAATATAACTTTTGATATATTTAAATATATTTAGATATAAATAATTATTTTTATTTTATAAAATTGAAAAAATATATAAATTAATAAAAATATATAATTCAATTCATTTTTTAAAATTTTTTATATCTCAATCTAAAATTTGATTTGAAGTTAATATACACATTTAATATATAAATTTAATTCAAATTAAATAAAAAAACTAATTCAATTCAAACCAAATAAATACAAAATCAATTTTATTTTTCACCCTTAATCATTATGTTTAGGAATAGCTAATAAGGTTTTTTATGGTATACAAGGAGGGCGTGGACCTTCAAAATTCAAGAACATTGAACTTTCATTTAAAGGGAGCATTAAGAGGGCGTTTAGTTTAAGAGAATCTAAAATTTTTTTTCTAAAATCTGTACTTGTGTGTGATTCCTCTATTTGGTTTATTGATATCTAATTCTTAAGAAAATCTTATATGTCTAACAGTGCCAAAAAAGTCTCGGAATCAAAAACTTATTTTTTCCTATTGTTTTTCAAGATTCTGAGAAGAAAGTTACTTTTATGCCACGTTTGTTCTAAATAAAAAATATATTCTTTCTATTTTACCATTTTGAAAATCAACGTATGGTAAGGATTTTTTTTTTACATATGTCAAATATTACATTTTTTAGTAACAAATGCAATAATTGTGATTACTTTTTATTGAAATTTTGTTTAATTAAGTAGTAATTTCTTTTTGTAATTGAATAGTATTAATTATTGCATTTATTTTAACAAAAATGCAATATTTGATGAATTTAATTGTTTCCATTGAAGGAAACACAATATTTGATTTAAATGCAGTATCAGAGATTATTTATTGCATTTCTTTTTATAGAAATGCAGTATTTTTTTATTCATAATAAATGTAATTTTTTCTCTCGAAAATCGAGATTCAGACATTACAAACGTTTTTATGTTTAATCAAACTAAAGCTCAATTTTTAAATACAATAACGATGTTTACGATATAAGAAACATCGTATTTGGAGTCTTTAACTTTATCGAATAACAAAGACCATTTTCTTTTTTTCAAATAATATCATAGGTCTTTAAGCAAAAACTTCTTTTTTTTAACCAACATAATCTACAACCTTTGTGATTTCATCTTTGTCCTGTTCAGTTTATCTTTTATTTTATCAATAAATGGTGTGTCTACTATCTGTTACATCATTATCTATTCTACATAATATGTTTGATTCAAATATGTTTTTTTTTATTTGTTTGTTTAAATCTTGATTGAAAAGATGTGGGTTATTCATATGTATTCTTCATTTTGGTTTTAGTCCTTGATCCATATATGTTTTGTTGTTTTTTTTTAAAAAAATTGTTTGTTGGATGTGTCTTAGATTTCATCTAGGAAGTATACATATTTGATTTTCACACATGTTTTCAACATTAACTAAAATGTTTCTTCTAAATAGTTTAACTCGTTTATCATTAAGAAAGAAGATACAATTGATAACAATGCTTATTTTACGCTTAAATTAGATGGATACTATGTTACACATGTTACTTATTGTTGCTATGACATTACTTGCAATGAAATATAGAAAAAGATGTAGACTATCTTATGCTGATAACACATATGATAGGTTATAGATTAGAGAGTTAAACTTAACTGCAATGATTTTCTAGAGTGATAAATAATGTATAGATAATTATAGAATGGATATGAAAACATATGTAAAATTATGTCATTTGCTTCAAATACAAGGGAGATTACATGCACTTAGTCAA